AGGTTAGATCCACAGACTGGATTATTTCAATCTGAAGAAAATATTCTTTTCAATTAAGAAAATATAATTTTGTAATGCATTAGCACTGTTTTTCAAGAACACCCCCATTCTGCCACACTGGACATCCTTAAGAGCAGCTCTAAATCAACACTTTATCCATGCCCGAATCTCTACGAAGGTAAACTGAAGTTGTTCTAAATTTAATTTCCCCCCTTCTTGCCATCAAAAATAAATGCTTCAATCATACTTTCAAAGATCTTTAACCCAAGGGCAGCTGTAGGTTGTCTCATAAGGCCTTTTCCAAGAGCAATCATTTTCCTTGAACACATGGGCAGTCTGGGGAAACAGACTGCTTGTCTGCACCTCCTAACTGGAGCTACATCAATACAGCTGGGGCCAAATCTTGCCAAGCCTAAGCACATGTATAACGTTACCCACCAGAGTAGTACCCTTAGTGCCCACGGGAATTCCCACCTGAGTGAATTCATATATGATTATGCATTTTCAAAAAAAATAAATAAATAAGTAAAAAAAAAAAAATTACAGCTCTTCTTTAAGCCTATTAACTTGAAAATGTTTAGAAAAGGTGGTTACAGGACTAGACAAACAAAGTGGTGTTGAAATGCTGGCTTTAAAGCCCTAAAGGGAACATTTCCCTTTACCCTCCCTCAAGTAGATTATTGCAAAAATCATGTCCTCCCTTCTCAGTGCAGGTCTTAGTGCAGACCTCCAGGTCCTTATACAGCAAGGAGTGTAAACATGCACCTAACTTCAAAGGCCTGCACAGCCCTATTGATTTCAAGAGGCTGTGCACAGGCTGAAAAGGAAGTGCACACTTAAGACCCTGGCTGAATGGCACTTAGTCATGGAAGAATCAGGCCTGAGTTTCCTGTATTTAAATGTGACCTGCAGGGAAAAACTCAAGAAGTTGGACCCACTCATTTCCGCACTCCTTTTGAGGTACAACAAAAGCCTGGAAGGGCTGAACAAAAAACCTGTTCTCTCAAGAGATTTTAAACATAAAAATATTACAAATACAAGTATAGTCTGCCCAGGGGGATTCTGTCGGAAGTGACACACGGGGCAGAGGAGATTACATCTCACAGGAGAGCGAGGTGAGCAACTACAATGCTCTTTATGTATTCCTGCGGACCCACAAAACTCAAAGCTCAACCACAGTATAAGAATGATTTTTAATCAGATTGCATAAAGCTGGTTTTATTGGTGCTTGTTAACACCCATTAAACAACACTGCTTGAATCTATTCCGGGGGGGGGGTATTCCTGTTAAACATTCAACAACCACATCCCTTTAATTAAAGGTGTGAGATCATAATATGACCCAGCCCACTTCCAAAGCTATCTTATAACACCAGGCAGAGCAGACATGATACTGCAGGTATTTGCTATTTTTGTTACTTGTTTACCTTACTCATACCTTTCAGGCCTTTAAAAAAAAAAACAAAACAAAACCCCAGACAAAGAAAGCAGAGCAATAGGAGACAATAGAAACCCCCAGTTCCTAAAACTCCTCTGTAAGTCACATTTATGCAAGCTGTACATTTTAACTGCAAGCACATCTTTATTCCAGGTGCAGAAAAAGAAGAGACAGGATGTTCTAGGTTTCACAGCATAAACAGTTCTGCACTCCAGCAAGAAAGAGCTGTTAAGGGTCTCTCTTGTGGGCTTGGCTATTGGAAGAGCTTCCCCACTGCACTTTAGGAAAGCATCTTGAGCTTTGCTATTCCACTCTGGCCTCATGATCAGATGCAATTTACGCTAGACTGCGATGAGCCCAGCGGTACACAAAGCTCTGTATGAAACAATAAAGCTGCTTCACTTAGATTGCAACAGGCTTTGCGCTCTCCATCCTCCAGAAAGGGGCAGGGGTTGTCTTTATTTAAAAATCAGAACAAAATTTGAGATGCATCAAGAGGAGGAGGAAATGCTTAAATGTTACACTCTTCTGATGTTTCAGACACAAAAGGCGGGGGGGGGGGGGGGGGG